TGTGAGCGAGCGATTTGGCTCCTGCATAAATTAGTTGCTCTGGAGCCATCCTTCCTGAGCTGAGACAAAATGTGTGAGCCGGAGGCTAAAAACCTGTGAGCTAGCTCACACTAACTCAGCTTAGAGGGAACACTGCTTCCTGGCTATACTACACAGAATGCCACACAATGATGAACTAATTATGCTGTTGATAAGCTCCTCTCCTCCAGGGGACACGGTCGAATCCTGCTAGAGGCCAACTCTTGGGTCCAGAGCAGCCAGATTTTGCGTCCGCCTCTGCTTAAACTCAACGTCAAGGATTCCTGCCGCACACACCCCTCCCCCTTCCCAAACCTTTGCATGGACAGTGGCAGCTCCGGCCCCCTAACCGCCTCTGGCAGTACAAACCCAGCTCAACAGCTGCCTCCAGAGTTCAAAAACTCGTCGGCTGGGGCCTTCCGGTCTCTCCCCAGTGCTGCTGGTACATCTTCAACAGCAGCCCGGCGAGTTGAAAACCTGCAGCTGAAACTTTCCCCCCGGATGAAAGGTAAAGCCCAGGGGAAATGCTTTGCCTGCAAAATTTCTCCCCGTCAGACACAAGAGCGGCCAGTTAGAACGCTGGCTGTCCTCACTGGGACAAAGGTTAATTATTAACATGAAATATTTTGTTTTCCTGGGAAGTTTCCAGCAGGCAGCTGCCATGCAAGAGGGGCTCGTGAGCTTGGGCAGATCATGAGAAGGGAGGGCAGGAAGGGTTGCCTCAGTGCTTAGTTCTCGTGGCCCTTTCTTGCACGCCCAGGAAAATGTTGATCGCCACTTTGGAGATCAGGAAGAAATTTTTCCCCAGGCCAGTTTGCCTGGAGATCCTGGAGTTTTTTTGCCATCTTCTGGGCATGGAGCAGGGGTCACTGGGTGGGGAGGTGTTTGTGAATTTCCCTATGAGGAAAGGTTAAGGTGCTTAGGGCTCTTTAGCTTGGAAAAAAGACAACTGAGGGGTGACATGATCGAGGTTTATAAGATTATTCATGGGAAAGAGCAGGTAGAGAAAGAGGTACTTTTCTCCCTTTCTCACAATACAAGAACTCGTGGGCACTGCAGAGCGGTCGGGTTAGAACGGATAAAAGGAAGTCCTTCTTCACCCGAAGAGTGATTAACACTTGGAATTCAATGCCACAGGAGGTGGCGGCGGCTACAAGCATGGACGGCTTCAAGGGGGAATTGGATAAGCATATGGATCAGTGGCTATGAGCCACAAGGTATAGCTAGGGGCTCTGGGGCAAGGGATGCTCTGTCTTCTTGGTGCTTGGGAGGGGGTGGTCAACAGTGGGAGGGCTCCTAGTGTCCTGACCCCACTGGTGGACCTCCTGAGGGCACCTGGTATTTCTGGCCACTGTGTGACACAGAGTGTTGGACTGGATGGGCCTTTGGCCTGATCCAACATTGGCTTCTCTTATGTTCTTAATTTCCTACATTGTGCAGGGGGTTGAACTAGATGACCCCGGAGGTCCCTTCCTCTTGTTGTTGTTCAGTCGCACAGCCGAGTCAGACTCTCCGCGACCCCATGGACAAGATCCCGCCAGGCCCTCCTGTCTTCCGCCGTCCTCTGAAGTTTGCTCAACTTCATGTTCGTTGCATCGATGACACTGTCTAACCATCTCATCCCTTGCCATCCCGGTCGTCTTTGACCTTCAATCTTTCCCAGGATCAGGGTCTTCTTCTCCAGTGAGGGCTCCCTTCTCATTGGGTGGCCAAAGTATTTGACCTTCGGTTTCATTATCTGGCCTTCCAGGGAACAGTCAGGGTTGATTTCTTTTAGGATGGACTGATTTGATCTCCTCGCAGTCCAAGGGACTCTCAAGCAGTGTTCCCTCTAAGCTGAATGAGTGTGAGCTAGCTCACGGTTTTTTAGCCTCCGGCGCACACATTTTTGTCTTGGCTCAGGAAGGAGGGCTCCAGAGCCAACTGATTTATGCAGGAGGCAAATCCCTCACTCACAACTGTAATGCCGATAGTAGCTCACAAAGTAGAATTTTTGCTCACAATGTATGCCTTCTTCATTTACGCATCGGTTTATAGACCGCTCAGACCCGAAGGTCTCTGAGCGGTTTACAGGCAAATTTCCAATCACAATGGGTTCCTAAGCTACGGCCACATATATATTACGGGGCTGGGGCTCCCTACCAGCACCCAGTAGTGCGGGCTAGTTGTTCTTTCTTTCCCCACAGCTTAGAGGGAGCCTTGCTCTCGAGAGCCTTCTCCAGCACCACAGCTCAACAGAATCCCTTCCATGGGGCTCCATGAGTCTAAGGCGCATCCACCACCACCCAAGCCGCAGGTGCTCCCCCATCCCCTGGCAGCGGCTGTTGCAGGGCGGCGGGCAGCCAGGGGCCGAGGGCAGCGGGCGCCCCGTTGGGGAACCGTGCCGGGGAGCGCCGGCTGCGTCCCCCGAGCCTCCCGCCCCAGG